TCCCAAACAAGCCACACAAAGCTGATGTGTCTCCCCACCCGTGATGAAATGAGGGCAAGGAACAACACAACGCTTAAACTCTTGATTCGCCATTGATATATATATATATAGTGTGCTTGACAGAGACAAAGTACAGAGATCGCTTGCTGAAGGCAACAGAAGCTGTCGCGGTCTGATCTCAAGGGTGCTATATAGTTTCCTGGTCAATGACGTCACCAGACGTCGTACTCTCTCATTGGACTGATTGTACAGACGCATCACGACGCAATCACGCAGAGCGTTCCCATCGCGTATGACAACGCAGCTCGAAGTTCCCTTGAAAGGGAACTCACCTATGGCCTACAGCACAGTGGGAAAAATATCATAAATATCCAACGCATTCTCATCCTTTAGCGTCATATAGAACGCTACATGACAAAACGGCGCTATACTACGCACATGGCACCCGTTATCGTTAATATAACGTGCTGTGAGGGCTAAGTTTAGGTGTGGGGTAGGGTCTGCGTGTCATATTTACGCTAAAGGATTTATGACGTCTTGGGTTTGCGTGTTATATTAACGATAAAGGGTGCCATGTGCGTATTATAGCGCCGTTTTGTCATATAGCGTTTTATGTGACGCTAAAGGATGAGAACGGGCTGAAATATCCATGTTCTAATTTGGCCTTAGAAAACCAGTAAAATCTACATTTTTTTCCCATATTAATTTGTGAATATTTTAAATGTTTTAAATTCGTTGAGATGTATATAGCGCAGCCAGCTATTGGTGTGGTCAAACTAAAATGTCGGTGTTCAACTTTGCGTTTTAAAAAACAACAATCGTTCATTTTTCGTTTTGCAATGACCGTTTGGACATATTACGAAAAAGAGTTCTTTATTAAATTCATTTAAAAAAAAAGAAACAATAATTACAGGAATAGCCTCTCTAAACCTCAAAGAAATGCCATCAAGACATCGAAGCAGAAATAAGGGAGAAACACCAGGAACTCTGTGTCTTTCCCTGCCATTAATGCTTGGATAACACACCACGTCTCCTTCCATTAATAATAATAATGTATAGTGCGGTGCATGGCTGTGAAAAAGGTAAACCTACCAACGTCTGTTGCCATGATTTTTGGAATGACTTATCACGAGAGGGAAAAAAGACGTTTTAGTCGCAAAACATCGGTTAATGGAAACACCGTCATTTCGCAATAGTTTTTTATCGACATTTGGAAAATATCGAAAAAGTTTTGCGCAAATCTGCAATGGAAACGCGCCTAATGACATCATATCCGTGTTAACCCGGTTTCCGCCAGGTTTGACCTCGTACTGCAACAGTAACCATGGCGACAGACGTGGACAACTAGGTCGGACAAGCAAGTAGACTTTGAGACAAAAAGAGGCCAAAACGAAGATCAACATCTTTCGAGATGCCGAGAGCTCCACGTCCGCGACTAACTTTGACTTGACGGAGATGCGAGTGTTGCATGTTACTTGAGAAAACAGGTGAGCAAATCAATGTATTTAAAACTAATTAGTTCAACATGATGAAAAGTTAGAATATGATCTGCATTTTATTCTCTAATGTTAATCTAGCTTAGTCTCATTCAGCCAACAAACAGCCTACAAACAACAACAAACCACCTCTGTTGTTAGTTAACCAAGTTAACTAACAACATTCAACACACTCAAATGCCGTTTAGTGTGATAGTGAAACTGTTAAAGCAAGTGAAACTGCTCTGCGTTACCTCAAGTTTAATTCCTCTAATAAACTGACCTGTGTGAGTAATTCAGCGTGTAGTTTGGTAAGAATTAAATGTCCTTATTCCTTTATATCTGCAGGACTCACGTTGTGTGTGGTGCTGGTAAACGTCTAGCAATCACGCCCAGGTTCATACTAGAGTCATGTTAAAAACATCAATGTATTCACTCATCCATAAAAGATCCATCAGCTTGACGACAAGATCCATAATTCCGCTTAATTCGGAATATATGTCATTAATATACGCCTTTGTTATTGTAAGAGGTTAGCGACCCCTGGTGGCGAAACAATCTTGCATATTGTACCTTTAATTAATGCTTGTTTTACTGCTGAGTTGCTTGTTACCATAGTGATCGTGGACACACCTCTTCCAACACCAACTCATTACAGGTAGGCCTACATAAATGTTGTTTGATATAATATGAAGGTCATAATTATTATATTTTTAAAGCAAAATTACATCTGCATTTGACTTTTTGCCATCATTTACAAAAGTAATAGAGTTCATTGTTAGTTAAAACTTTCAACAAGCAACATCTGACTTGACCTGTCATAGCAATAATTGTCTGTTAACAGTATTTTTCTCTCTCTCATATCTTCTCAGAAAAAAGAGAAAATTGATAACTTTTCATGTCCCAATAATTTTGGAAGACTACATTAGCTATTTGTCAAATCTCCAACAATCCACTGAAGTATACAGACTGATTAAAACTAATTGTTGATTTTGGGTGTTGGTATGTGCACTAGTGCGATTTGATAGTGTGGGCTCTTCCCAGAGAGCAGGATACTATTACACTAGAGTACTTGATACCCAGAACTTTCTTAGAAATTATGCCTTGTGTGAGAAGAGCTCTAGAGGTGTACTGTCTTTTAGCCCTATTGCAACAGCGGCCACAACACATAACTAACACAGCTGGTGCTGTATTTCAATGGGAAAGTTCTTTATATAGTCTGCCCTAAATAAAGACCTGTGAGAGGGCATGTGTCAGGTATCACAAAGCACACCACAGAACACGCGTGCACATACAACACACATCTCGCACACTCACGCAGGACACACCCCATGGGGACCTCTCAGTCAAAATATGCTATACGTCTCACACCCCTTTTAGCAAATGCAGTTACGAATTTAGCTGTAAAATGTCACTGTCAAAATTAGTTTGTTTCAGCAAATAGTACACTTGCTCTGCACTATTAAGTGATATCTTCCTCCGAAAATATCTGTTGAAGTAATCCAGATCATGTTGGTTTAATATGCCCTCATGATTGATGTTTTTTTAATGTGTGGCTTCTCAGTTTCAATCATGCTGCAAGTTTGGCCTCTGGGGTGTACCGGGGGATGTTTATTCTCTAGGGCTGGTTTATCTGTTTTAGGATGGCATAGCACATGAATCGTTGGTTATGGGAATCTATGACGCACAGCTAACTTCAGGAAAACGATACGGTTATAAGTTTCCTCCTCAGAACCTTAAGCGTCTGCTAGTTATTCATCATGTTACACATGACTTGTTTGCTACGCTACAAACAAGACAACAAAACATAACACTACTGGTAACAATTTATTTTGATGGTCCCTTTTGAACATTATGTTGACTATAAGCAGGGCTTGACATTAACTTTTTTGCTCACTAGCCAATGTGGCTAGTGGTTTTCCAAAGTTACTAGCCACGCAGCACTTTTACTAGCCACATTTTTGTTGTTGGAAAATGTGATTAAAGTTGACAATGGGGCTTAAAACTTGCTAAAATGTACTAATATTATCATTAGCTCTGATAAGGTTGTAGGCCTAAAGCTCCTTTTTTTGAAAACATGTCTATTAAGATAAACACATAAAATAGCTTCTTATTGCATATAATAAAAGTGCTGCATCTTTTTTTTTTTTTACAGCAGTAAATACTGTAATACAGAGTAGAACAATTATCGAGCAACGAGCAAAGGATAAATTATTTTTTAAAACTTTATATAGCCTATTTGACAGTTTTTGGGGACTTTGGATTGTTTGTTTTGCATCAGCATTTCCTCAGAGCTGTGACGTATTAATTATCATCAACAAATATAGACATACAGGTCTTTAATTAAATTAATTAATTAACTCTGGAAAGATATGATAGTTGTGATATGAAGTTGTGATATGACGTGACATAAGGGCAGCCCTGCTACCGTCCCTTAACCATGAAGATTATTTTTTCTATATATCGGCCACGCACACTCACGAACTGACTGAACGCTGTGTTGATGTGTGTGTGAACGCGACCAGTCGCGTGATGATCGTTTGACAAAAGTCTGGATATCATGTTGCGATATCATATTTGGCGCGCGCACCCTCGCGCAGCGGCACAGAAGGAGAGCGTGAGACGCGCCTATGTTCTGGATTATCCTGCTATTAAAAAAGATCGCTATATCATCACTAAGGGCATTATTAAGGGTAATTAAGGGCAGACTAAAACAGCCCTCAGTCCGACGGCCAGTCCGCGAGTTTAATCTCCGCAACCGCGTGTCTAATGTCGTTCAAGAGGATTCACGAACGGACCAAAGAGCAAACACTAGACTGTGTGCAGGTACTCATGGGAGTTGTAGTGTCATAGCGATAGATAGCAATATGTTTGTTATGTCAGATGTATTTTGACAAGACTACAATTTTTCAACACGCCAAAGTGGCTAGTGGGAGTGTCTATGTTACCCGCCACGCGTGAAATCCACCCGAATTTGGCGGGTTGGCGGGTGTTAATGTCAAGCCCTGACTATAAGTAACATTACATGCCAACTAACTCCCATTAGAGTTTTAGTCTGCTTAATTTCTGCTAACACTTTATTGTGATGCTCCCCCAACAGACATTCTACTGACTATTGCAACTAACAGTCCAAACTCTACTTGTTAGTACACATGTAGGTTCAACATTACTTCTAGTCAACGGAATGTGTTAAAGGGACCATCAACATAAAGTGAAAGTGCAATTGAGGAGCTTTAAACACTAATTCTATTAGTATACTGCAGTGCATACTGTATATTTTCTTAAGAAAACAGGTGTTCAGATGTTCCACAATGTAATCAACATTGATGAACACATATCAAAAAGAAAGGTACTCTTATTATATCTCCAACTGTTAAAGGTTTAAATGTATACCATCACTAATCTATATCAGGAATTTCCCCTAGGACTTTAAAAGGAGATTAACCTCCTGTTTGTGCTCCTAATTTAATTAGACTGACCTTTGACCTCAGGGAAACTGCACTTTGTAACATTAACATATCCTACCTCGCTTCAGTCCTCAGAGACAAATGTCAATATACATTCCGCGGCAACCAGCTTCTCCTGCTTCACTGGCCCTCACTTCAAGCTCTATTTTTTTTTTTTTTTTTTTAAACAGAATAATCCTTTTCCACTTCGGTAAGTTTGTTGCGGTATGCTCTCCTCATTAACATCTAGTCATTGTCACCTGCCCATCTTGCCATGGCTTTCAAGTGCCCCTTTTTAAGACGTTTTTTTAGCCTTATCAGACAGCTTTCCTTTGAACACTCCAGCAGTCCCACGATCTCTGTGGCGTTTAGTCCTGAGACACCCCTAGTGTTATTGTTCGTAGAAGACTGTTAAATGCTTTTGCAGCTGCTGCTGTCCCCTAAAAATACTGGCAGCCTCGATGACAGCAGTGAAGATAAGTCAGGCTCTCCATTCACTTGCTCGCAGTGGCTAAAGATAGGTTGGATTGCTCGTCCTGGGCAGATTGCTTGACTTACTTGAGACCTTGCAATAAAATCTAAGGAGAAGGGCAGCAGCCTTCTGGCCTCCTGAAAACTTTAAACATTTAGTTGAATGTTCAGAACCTTTTGTTTACGGCAGCAGTGTCAGCGTATTCACATGAAGGCATTCAGAACCGCAGAGGATTCCTGGTAATGGTCATAATTTTATGGGATCTGTCATCAGCCTTAGTAGATGTAGCCCTGCAAATGATTTAGACAAGTA